CAGTAGAAAGTTTTACTGGTTTCTATGGGTAATTTTGAAACCAGTAAGAAAAACCCATAGAGACCAACAGAAACCAGTAAAAGTCAATAAAACCCCATAAAATCTTAAGGGTACCCATAAAAAGTTTTACTGGTTTCTATGGGGCATTTTTAGTAGAGTACTCCAGACTGTCTTTTAAGACAACTAGACAACTATTGTATTAGTCTGCAGCTTAATTGGAGCCGCTATGTAATATTTCAGTATTAGAAAGAAATATCGTAAATAGAGCGCTGTTGATGCTCTTATTCAATTGCACTCACAAAATCTAATGTGTTAAGAGTGAATAAGAGGCTTTGAGACATTTAGCGATACTATTTCATCATTTCACTACGTACATATCGATCAAGGTCTATAACCGTGAAACGAGGTATCCTTCTAGTACAGAACGCGCCACTCTTCGTCAGCTCTCATCTGTCATAATTCCCCTCAAGTTGTTGCTACGCTGTTTACGACCGTTACTCACAAACGAACGCAAAACACCCTCATACATGCATTACATCATCTGTTGCCTCCCCGACCCTTCCGTTTATTCTGCACTCTCTTCCATTTACACGGAACTATCCTCTTTCATGAACTCTCTTCCTGTCCCAGAAAATCTTCAGGTTCGACGTCTTTAGGATGAGTGCTCTTCAAAGGTAAAAGGGTGGAAGTTAAGGTGAGAGTGATTCGTTGCTATGGTTACAGCAATATATCGTTGTCACATCATCCCGCACGCGTAGTTTGTTGCTGTTTCATCTCAGGTATGATAAGGTAGTTTGTTTCAGATAATTTTGTTTTTGCTTTATGGGAACTTTTCGGTTTTATTACTCTTATTTTCAAGTTTATTCACTGAGTTTAGTAGAAATTTATAACGGTTTGCTTGATATTTTTTGAATATTTAGTTAAAGCCTTTATAATGGACATAATAACAATGTGATTTTCAATTAATTTTATTAAACTGATTATTAATTTAACTTATTGAACTAATAAATGAAAATTACTGACACTTCCTCCAAAGCATTTTAAAAATTGCCTGTGGGTGCAAATAAATTTCAATTTCTAGCAGTGTAGATCAACAGTAATAATTTTAGATCAATGTGTGTGTGTATGTATTTAATTATGGCAAAGCACACACTAGGGCTATCTGCCTAAGGGGAGGGATGCCTTCGTGGAGGACTTTCTAAGGGAAACTGGCTCGTATACACGTTACACATGGGGAAAACCACGAAAACACCCATGCAGCCAGCCCGTTCGCGGGATTCGAACCTCGGACCGAACTACCAGTGTTCAGCGACTTTACCGCTCGGCCGCTGGTGGGCCAATTTTAGATCAAACAAGCAATTATTAGTGTAAATAAAAATTTTAATTTATATTTGTTTGATATTTTGATATTATTACATGATGTTGGATGTAATTAATTACTAAGAATTATTTGAAACGTTCAAGTGAAATTAAAATAGTCAAATTTTTGACATTAAAAAATTCATTTATACATAAAGTTATTCCAAAAGAAAAAGGTTAAATTAAATAAAAAGTATTTCAAAAGACAATACTTTTTGTACGATGAATTGACTATACTTTCCGACTTTCAGTGAAATAAATATCATCATTCTTAGAAATAAATTATTTCATTTTTATATTCCTTAAAACCTTTTATCGTCAATAATAATATGTTTTTCTTGTTTATAAAAACTCTATAATGATTTTGTGTCTGGCATATACAACAAAACACCCTTAAGATGGATCACCTATCTCACCAGAAAAGTTTGGTTTCTGTAGAAATGCTAGATTTAAAGAGCATGAACATCAGTTAAGTTCAGTACTGATATTTAAGCATGTGCACAGAAGTACTGGTCACTTTGAGAGTGGTTGTAATATGGTGGTGAAGGGCTAGAGGTTTCGCAATTTCTGGAAGACCCCTGTTTTATGTAAAGTTTTTCCATTAACGCAAGAAATCAATATTTCTTACTTTAAAAAAAGGCTTTTCTAATTCTAAGCGTTTAAGAATTATAAAGCTATCAAAAAGTCCTCCTGGCCAAGATATTATGCAACAAGCATTAAAAAGTTGTTTTTGGTTCCTTTCTTTGGCGGCCATAAATTAATCCACTCATCTTCATCAAAGTAGTTATTAATTACCTCATTTTTAAAGCCACGTTGCCAATTCAGCTTTTCAAAGCCGAAAGAGAAAATGAACTCTCATTTTCTTTCAGTCGAATATTTTCCTTTACTAAATCTGTCAGAAAAAGGGGGAATATAATTTATTACAAGCTACAGAAATATTTTACATCGTTATTTACGTTAACGTTTTTTATTTCTTGCAAAATACTATTATTATGTTTATATATTTTCAAGATTTTTTACTTTAAGTACAAAAAAGGGGAAGTGTAAAAACATGTAATTTTCTTTTCATAAGCCGCACCGCTACGTTTGAAGTCATTTATTGACTTCAAAAGTCCTCCTCATGAGAAATTTATGTACTCAAACTCGTAAATTAAATTACTTACTTTTAATTAAATTTACCGAATTATTTAACAAAAAAATTTTCAATAATGAATGTCAGTCATACAAATATAAAATTTTTATGACAAAATGAACCCAATAAATTAATAATTCATACAGTAATTAATGTCAGATGAATAAGTAATTTACTTTGACAGTTCTATTAAAGAGTTTGTATTATAAGAGTGTATGTTAAGAAGTTAGTTTATGTCAATTTTAAAGTCTTGTACATTCTAATTTTCGAGTTGCTCTAAAATAATTAAAAAATGAATGATAATGAAAATTAACATATGTTAGTTTTAATTTTATCTTGCTATCCCCATAAATAATGAAAATTATTTATGAAGACTTCAAATTAAACAATAAAAATAACTCTATATGTTACTCGAATAAAATAATAATTTTATTTTATATTATTTGATAATAATTTTATTTTATCTATTTTTTGGAGACAAGAGTTTAAATGGCACTTGAACAAGCATCGTTTTTCTGCCGAATTTAGCTGCCTATTCATTTGAAGTAGATGAAATGCTTTTTCGCGCCTTATGTAAATTTTGATTTTGTTCCCTGCAAGAGGGCGCCTGCGAGCGCCGAACTACTTGTATAATCTATTGTAACGAACTTTTTCACACCAGTCTAATAAAGCAAACGAACGTTTGAGTCTACTTTCCATCCGCTAACATGGTCCGTCGTGAGCCAGCGCATTTCTTTGGATGATGTGTCAAGACAATTTTCTTTACGTTCTGGTATAGAAGACATTTCGTGCAGGAAACGGATTTATATGTTGTCTGGATTGTGAAAACAGCGGCAGGAATATGGAGTCATTTTTTTTAAAGCAAAAAGCGTATCAAGGGGTAAGTTGACTCGTTTAATTTCACAAATAAATAGTTTAAAAATCAAGAAAATTTCTTTTCTTGGCCATTGAAGTGTACGAAATGATGTTAGTGCATTAAGTGTTGAAGTGAACTGTTTAAACGATAACATTCTTGGTACTTGTTCTGACGCAGAGTTTAGTAAATATGAAATAGAAATGAATGAATTATTTTCCAAATTAGATGCATTAAAATTACTTTTAAAGGAAGAATCAAGAAAACTTAGAAATTCAGGCAAAGATATAATAAATGCTAATGCAAACGGCTTGAAACTTCCTCGCGTGGAATTGCCAGTGTTTACTTCTAATTATGTTGATTGGATATCATTCAGGATTTATTTCTTGCCAGTGTTGGAAATAATAGTACATTAAGTGACAGTCAAAAAATTGCAATATCTTAAGCTTTCTGTGAAAGGTGAAGCTGCTGTTTTACTACAAGTCAGTTCAAATTTCAAACGCGAATTATGAAAAGGCATGGGAAGCGCTTACTGAACGTTATGAAAACGAAATAGAAATAATAAACGCAGCATTAAATAAATTAACTTCACAGCCTGTTCTAAAACATGAATCAGCTTCAGGTTTGCGGAGATTAATTGATACAACACAACAGTGTATTGATACATTAAAAAATCCTTAAACAGCCAGGTAGAGCATTGGGATACTATGATTATTTTTCTGCTAAAAGAAAAACTTGATCATGAAACACTAAAAGAGTGGACGATGGAGCATTCGAACAAGAAAATTTCTGCTTTCGCTGAATTCAAGCGTTTTATTTTAAACAGAGCGAATGCTATTGCCTCTTTGGCGAGGTGCCAGAGGGAGAAGGCAGTTTTGCCTTCTGAAATTAAAACTCGCGGTTCAGGTAGCAGATACGCTTTTTCGTCCCAACTTGTGGCTAATGTGTGCGTTCATTGTAAGAGTAATTCTCATTCTCAGTTATTTAAATGTGATAGTTTTTTAGAACTCCCTATCAAAGAAAAATGGGATATTATTAAAAGGAATAAATTATGTGCTAATTGTTTGAAAGATAGTAAAACGCATCCCATTTTTAAATGTCGTGCAGGAATGTGTAAATATTGTTCAAAGCCACATAATACAGTGTTATGTTCGAAAAATTCAAATGATGAAAAATGTCATATACCCATGGAACACGGAACTTCTGCTATTAGTAGCAATAACGCCACGGTGCCTGTTGCGCAAGCAGTTTTATTGCCTACTGCGGTTGTTTATGTTAAAGATATTAATGGCGATTTACAAAAATGCAGGATGCTAATTGATTCAGGTAGCCAGGGCTCATTTATTCGAGAGCACTGTGTAAATTTATTGCAGCTAAAGCGCACTAGTGCAAACGTAAGTGTAAATGGCCTGAGCTCGCAAAAAATTGGAAAGGTTTCAGGTTCAGTTCAATTACAGGTAACGTCTCCATTTTATAAAAAACGCAAGCATTTCAGTTGATGCATTAATTATACCCAAGATCACGTGTGACCTTCCTCAATATCAAGTTGAAAGATCTGTTTTGACATCTTTCAAACATTTGTGGTTGGCAGATACAAATTGTTTCCAGCCTGGCCCAATAGATATTCTTTTGGGCGCAGATGTATTTGGCGAGATAATGCTTCATGGACGTTTAACTGTTCCGGGTCATTCGTTAACAGCCTTGGAATCAATATTCGGCTGGGTCATTATCGGAAAGACTAAAAGTGTATCACAAACAATTGTATCTAATCATGCTAGTTGTACCAATGTTCAGCTCCAGCTTGAAAAATTTTGGAAATTGGAAGAAATTTCGGAGATAAAGCATTACACAGAAGAGGAAATTGAGTGTGAAAATCATTTCAAGCGGAATTTTTCTCGTGATTCAACAGGTAGATTTGTTGTTAAGTTTCCATTTCGTAGTAGATCGGGAAATGAACTTGGGTCATCAAGGGATGTTGCTGTACATCGTTTACAAAGCATTGAACGTCAATTTATTAAGAATAAATCTCTTTCCAGTCAATATCACAAATTTATGGAGGACTATCAACAACTTGGTCATATGGAATTGATTCCAGAAAATGAAATTGATGTTCCAGCTAATTCTAGTTTTTACCTTCCGCACCATTCAGTTCCGGATAAAAATGGTGATAAAATTTCGAGTCGTATTTGATGGTTCTGCAAAATCTTCTAGCGGTATTTCTCTTAATGAGAAATTGATGGTTGGTCCACAGTTGCAGACTGATCTGACAAACATTAATTATTCGTTTCAGAATTCACAGAATAGCTATAACTGCAGATATAGAGAAAAAAATGTACAGACAAATTATACTAAAAGATGCAGACTTTCAGAGAATAGTCTGGCGCGATTCACTTTATAAATAAACCAATTCAGGATTTTCGATTAACTAGGATTGCTTACGGTACTGCATCAGCTCCGTACCTTGCGGTAAGATGTTTACAGCAGTTAGCCATAGATGAAGCAACTAATTTTCCTTTGGCTTCCAAGACATGTCTTAGGGACTTCTACGTTGATGATTTGATGTCCGGAGCCAGTTCAGTTACTGAAGCTATAGAATTACAAATGCAATTGAATCAGATGTTGTCACGTGCAGGATTTATTCTAAGAAAATGGGCTTCTAACAGCAAAGAAGTCTTGAATTCAATTAATCCAGATTTGTGCTTATCAAATGTTTCTTTGAACATAGACAATGATGATACTGTAAAAACGTTAGGTATCCTGTGGCATCCAGCTTCAGATATGTTTTTATTCAAAGTCAATTCATCATATCCTGAAGTCTTAACCAAACGAACATTACTTTCAATAATCGCAAAGACCTTTGACCCTCTTGGATGGTTGGCACCGATCACGGTTTCGGTATAAATTGATTATGCAAAGATTGTGGAAACATCAGTTTCAGTGGGATGAAAAGGTTCCTCCAGATATTGAATGTGAGTGGAAACAACTTACAGAAGATTTGTTATTTATTAAAAGTATCAAAATTTCACGATTCTTGTTGGTTGAATCAGATAACCAGTTTCAACTGCACGGGTTTTGTGACGCCTCAGAGAAGGCCTACGCCGCTGCAATTTATTATCGTTCTGTGTTAGATACTGGACAAATTAATGTTCAGTTAGTGATAGCCAAAACAAGAGTTGCACCACTAAAAACCATATCACTTCCCCGATTGGAACTTTGTGGAGCATTACTGTTGACTAAATTAATGGATTTCACCTGTAGGGCTTTAAATACTCCTATATCGCAAGTTTATTTTCATACTGATTCCACTATTGTATTAGCCTGGATAAGATCTCATGCAAGCCGATGGAAGACCTTCGTCGCCAACAGAGTAGCAAAAATCCAGACTTTATCCTCTCCTGTCCAGTGGCATCATGTGAGTGGAAATGCTAATCCTGCTGATCTTGCAACCCGTGGTGTGTCATCATCTGCACTGGTTACTTCATTGTGGTTACGTGGTCCAGATTTATTGTATAATTTATTTCCTTTTCAGCAAGCATTATCTGCACCACTACTGGAATGATTCTGTGCCAGAGCAAAGATGTGCTTTACAGTCTACAACTGCTGCCAGTCACTTGACAGACGCTCATGATTTATTTTATAAATATTCCTCTCTCACTAAACTTAAACGTGTTGTAGCATTATGTCTGAGGTTTGTAAATAACTGTAAAAATTCAGAAGATCAGGTAAGTGGATTTCTAAAAACAAGTGAATTAACTAAAGCTATGCATGTGTTAATTAAATTAATGCAATATGTTGAATTTAAGAATGAAATTAACACTTTAGGCAGAAATCAATCATTATCTGGTACAAGCAAAATTTTATCTTTGAATCCATTTTTAGATAATTTAGGTATTCTCAGGGTGGGCGGTCGCTTGCGACATGCAAACCTTGCATATGGTTTTAGGCATCCAATTTTGCTTCCAAAGAAGCACATTTTAACTCATCTCATTGTTAGACATTACCATGAAAGACTTTTGCATGCAGGTCCACAACTTATGCAATCTTGCATTCAAGAACAATATTGGATCATAAATGGTAGAGCTGTTATCAGAGATTTAGTTAGGAAATGTATAAAGTGTTGCAAAATTAGAGCATCTGTCACTAATCAATTGATGAGCGATTTGCCGTCTAGTCGCGTTTCGCCTGCTCCTGCGTTTTTGCGCTGTGGAGTGGATTACGCAGGTCCTTTTCAAATTAAAGCAAATAAGGGTCGAGGCTCTAGGTCATTCAAGGCATATATAGCTCTATTTGTTTGTTTTACGACAAGAGCTATTCACCTAGAATTAGTGACTGATCTTTCAGCAGATGCTTTTATTGCAGCTCTTAAGAGGTTCATTTCCCGCAGAGGCAAAAGCAGTGATATATATAGCGATTGTGGTTCCAATTTTGTTGGAGCAAAACGCAAACTGATGGAATTTGAAAGGCTTGCTAGGTCTGCAACTTATAACCAAAATGTTAGCAGATATTTGGTTGATAATGGCATTAAATGGCATCTAAACGTTCCAGGTGCGCCACATATGGGTGGACTCTGGGAAGCTGGCATAAAATCAACAAAATACCATTTAAAACGAGTAGTTGGTGAGGCGAGATTGACATATGAAGAATTTGAAACATTTCTCACACAAATAGAAGCTTGTCTTAATTCGCGACCTTTAACAAGTTTGTCTAATGATCCAAATGACTTGTCAGCATTAACGCCTGGTCATTTTCTTATTGGTAGATCATTAACAAGCATTCCTGAACCAAATTACATTGAAGTTTCCCATCTCACTAGATGGCAACATATTCAAAAAATGGTTCAACAATTTTGGAAGCGTTGGCACAAAGAATATCTGTGTCGATTACAACAAAGACCAAAATGGCTTTTGCCAACTAAAAATCTTCAAGTTAATGATCTGTGTCTCATAAAGGAGGATAACTTACCTCCAACTAAATGGAAAATGGGTAGAATTACTCAGTTACATCCTGGTCTTGATAGTGTTGTTAGGGTTGTGACTATTAAGACTTCAGATGGCATGGTTAAAAGAAATATTACAAAATTGTGTCCATTACCAATTTGAGTTTTAATTCATGTATTATAAATTAAGTATTATATCATAATTTTAATATTGTATTGTGTTTTAAATTTACTGAATTTTAACCACTAAATGTTTGAAATAGTATTTCAAGGTGGGCGGCATGTTCGCGCCTTATGTAAATTTTGATTTTGTTCCCTGCAAGAGGGCGCCTGCGAGCGCCGAACTACTTGTATATCTATTGTACGAACTTGTTCTTCACACAGTCTAATAAACGCAGTAACGAACGTTTGAGTCTACTTTCCATCCGCTAACATGGTCGTCGTGAGCCAGCGCATTCTTTGGATGTGTTCAAAATTTTAACGTTTGGTATAGAAGGACTTTCGTGCAGAAAACGGATTTATATTTTGTCTGGATTGTGAAAACGCGGCAGGAATATGGATCAATTTAAAGCAAAAGCGTATCATTAAGGGTAAGTTACTCGTTTAATTTCACAAATAAATAGTTTACAAACAACCCGAAAATTAAATTTCTGCAAAATATGTGCAACTTTATAGCTAATTGATGGAAAGAATTTTTATAATCTCCTAAAACAAGAGTGTGCCTTTTAGTGTGTTGAGATGAGAATTTTTTAACTGCTTGATTAATAATGTTAGGTGAAAAGCCCCTGTCAATAGGTATTGCTTTTAAATAATTTAGTTCTTCATCAAGGGATAGTTTGGGGGAGCAAACTTGAAGAGCACGGAAAACATAGGAATAAAATGAAGCTAACTTTTGTTTAGTCGGATGACATGATTTAAAGTGTGGTGGAAAGCAAACCTATGAAGGTTTACGGTAAACCGAGGTACTGAATTTGGATGTGTTACGTGTGACCAGAATGTCGAGAAACGGAAGAGAATTGCAAATCTCAAGTTCAAAAGTGAACTGAATAGCAGGATCTATAGAATTCATTGTTGAAAGAACTTTATTTAAATCTTCTTAATTTATTTCCTTCAAACAGGGTAAAAGTATCGTCTACGTAACGGAACCATGCCGGGAAGTTTAAAGTTTCAAACAATTTGATTCATAATAATGGAGAAATGGATTTTCTAGAGGCATTTCACATTCAAAAAATTCTTTCTGTTCTAGTTAACGATCCTAATTACAATTCATCTTTGCCTTCGGCATTTAAAGAAATTATATTTTAGTTCTGGTTTCATCAACAGATGGCGCCACTTGTTTATTCTTGTCCAGGCTTTCTTATCTTATCATTATGTCCTACCTTGTTCATTTGCGGTTTTGCAGCTGAGGATGATGGTTCGGTAAAACCATCGAAACTAGTCCTATGAAATTTTGAAAATATAACGCTGATTTTTGTTGTTTTTCTTCTGAATTTGTATTTATTCGGCGTGTTATTGTGTCTTAAAATACACACATTATTAGAGAAGTATAGTCCTAATTATGTAAAATGATTTATTTCTTACCACTATAACAAAGTTTGCATGCATTTTGCTTAGAAGGTATATATGTAAGATCTTGTTTCAGATTCTACCGAACTACAACTACATGTGCAGTGAGAGAGTCAATGATTTATAAGTTTAAATTAGGTGATATTTTAAGAAACTTTTTATTGCTTCACGTTAAATGCCATTATATTGTTCATTATTCAAATATATAAGGATTAAGTCCAAAATCGAAGTCCAAAGTTATTGTATAAATCGCATATCGATTACATGCATCAGCATAGCACAGTCGTTATAGAATGGTTTTCAGAATCTGCCGCTTCATAAGAAATCTTCGATCTCCCATAATTGCCTCATCAGAGAAATGGGATGCTAGCTGTCATTAACATGTATAATTAAATCATAGAATATGAAAAGCTATCAAACGGGTTTCGTCGATGCATTTTGAACAAAAGAACCATTTTAAACTTCTAAAGTTAAAAATATGATTTTGAACAGGTGTCTCTTTTAAGACAGGTTTGATAAGGCATACAAATTAGCATTTTTGCACCATTTGTTATTTCAAACCGTTTGCTATTAAAGTATATTGTATTACTGGATTTCTATTATCTTTTTGAAAAATGATAACTTGTGATTTTAAGCCTTATTTAACGCAAAATTGTACAAACAAATTGTTAATATAAAGCAACATATA